AATGTTAAAAATAAAATTAATTTTTGTATCTTTTATACAATTTAGTAAAATAATACTCCTTCTCATTATTTTTAATAGATTTTATTTTACTTTTTCATTTTTTAAATAAAAATTTTTAATAAAAATTTCATATAAGAAGAAATAAATTTTCAATTATTACTTTTTTGAGTTGTTAAATTTTTATTTAAAATTTATATATAATAAATTATAAAATAAAATAAAATTTTTTAAAAGTAAATTGAGCAAATAATACAATTAATGTATTCTCGTCCTATGCCTCAATTACAGATATTATTATTTTTTTAATTTTCGATTTACCAAAAAAGTAGTGACAGTTGCCAAGTGACGAAATCACGCAGACGGTAAGGATACGTTTTTGTCTTCGTCATATAAATATGTATAAATATGCATAAAAATATAAAAATTAATTTATATTTTTAATATAAATTTATAATAAAAAATTCATTTATTATATCTGTGTTTTTAAAAATCCTAAACAAATTAAAGAATTAATGCGGAGAATATGGTATGAGTTTTTAATTACAATAAATATTAGTGTTATGTTGATGTTTTCAATATATTTAAAAATTAAAAAAATAATTTTATTTTTAGCATTAATATCACGAAGGTATTTCTAATTAGATAATTAATAAAATAAAATAATATATATATTTAACCATGGCATAGAGAGGGGAGGAGAAACCCTTTTACAAATCATTTGGCTATTCTATAGGTTTGAATCTTTTTTTTTTCCTAAAGTCAAAGAAATAATTAAAATTAATGTATGGATATATCAAGTTGGCAAGCTTTTTTGTCGGTGTTGGTACGAGGCTTGAAGTTACAGGATTGGGTCTTTGCTTATTTCGTCCATGCTGGTGGTGTAATTATATTAAATGATGAAGAAATGTTTTTTTTTTAAAAAAAAAATTCTTGAAGTGAAATGATGAAGAAATGTTACTTTGTAACCTAAAATTAAAATTAAAAAAAAAAGGTATAAAAATGGTTGGCCAAATTAAAAAAGCCATAAAAATAAAAAATCAACCATATAGATTACTTTACAAGTTAAACACGTTTTACAGGCTAATTAATTTCCATTAGCTTCCAAAATTGAGTCACAAGATTTCCTCATAATTGGGTCCCCAAAAACCCAGACAGAAAAGAGAGAATCCAAATGCCTTAATTGGGTCCCCAGAAAATCAACTGCAAGAGCGTCTCCAGCTTCTCTTCCTCCCTCCTAGCACTCCACTTCTTCTCACCACCACCGTTCCTTCCACCGCCCTGATTACCCCCGCCACCTCTCCGCCGCGCTTCCTTACTCTCTACAACGCTTCTCTTCATTTCCGCAGCCTTGATTGCCGCTTCATTCATGCATTCTTTACCATTACACATCTCTCGTTCCTCTAGCACTGCCTCTGAGAAATTCACAGAGGAAATTAAGGAAGAAAATGTTTAAGTATGGTTGTTAAACGCTTATTGATCACTTAATTAGCGGAGGGTGTGCGTATTATTTATACAGGAAAGGAGGTTGGGACGAGAATGTTCAGGTTTCCGTTTATTTGTTGGGAAACCGTGGGTGGAGACGTGGATTTCGACTGCCGGATTTACGGGCCCCTGGTTTTTGTTTTGATTCAAGGGGTAAGGAAACCGTGGATCCACTTCAAATTGAATTTGGGCTAAGACCTGGGATACACCAACCAGCACAAAAAGTAGACTATGCCCGGCCCGTTAAGAAACCCTAATAATTTAATAGGCAGAAGAACACAAAAATTTTTTTTTTTACCAAATTAATAAGGGTGGGATTCGAATTTCGAACTCACTAAAAAGAGGGAAGATTACATCAAAGGAGGGGGAATTACACCTTCAAAGTAGTCTAAGGCCACTTGGCCGAAGGACCAAGTGCAGGAGAACACAAGATTTGAGAAATGTGCAAACAGAACTTTGCATTTTTTTTTTATCGAAAGATGTTAATTTTTTACATTTACCAATTGTACCTTAAAAAAAAAAAAGGAGTGTTTGATGATATGATAAATAATTAAAGGCAATGATACAGAGATAATTTTTTGTATAATTTTTTTATATAATATTTATATTTTATTAAATAAATAAATAAAATTAATTATTTAAATTATATGTAAAATTATACTAAAAATAATATAAAAATTTATCTCTAAATAATTTTTTAATAAATAAAATCAAGAAATAATGATAAAATTAAAATAGAAAAAAATTTTGCAGATTTTTGCCCTGCAAATTGTATGATATGGTTAATACTGTGGTACCGCTCCATGCCTTTTGAGTTGTTATAATCTTTTAATTTTATATAAATTAATTTATTAATTTTTTATAATAAATAAATAATAATTAATTTTTAATTTTTATTTATGTATTATAAAAAGTTATTTAATGAAATTTTATTTAAAAATCGGAAGTAGTAATAACAGATTGACTTCAAGCTAATGAACCTATCCATCACTAAGACTTTGCTTTGAGTACTTTACACAATATTCTATGTAAATATTTTTATTAGGCAGAAACCCAAAAAACAAAAAAAAAGTATTGCACGTGAGTCTCATGTTCAACGATTATGAATGGAGTTATAAATGAGTTATAAAATATATTTTTAACTCAAGAATTGAGATTTTAATTTTTCTACCCAATGTAGACCCATTTAAAAAAAAAAAAATACCCTGCTATTAAAATACAATTGTAACACAAACACAATACCAATCGACTAGGGCAGTCCAATATAAAACACGTTTTTTATCCAAAGCATAAAAAGAGGTCTTAGAAAGTTAGAATAATGCACGTCCACTTCCCCTGCATCTTATATAAAGTATTAATCTGCCAAACTCAAAATACTAATTTAAACAGCACATATGCTCATTTTGATGCAATTATTCAAAGTGGAAAACTTAAATTACGAAGTTGAAGAATTTGATTCTACAAAAGCTTTAGTCTTTACACTAAAATCTAACTGTACTAGGTCCCCAACAGTTCATCTGCACAACCCTTTCCATGGTCACTTCCGCCTTCTTCCTTTGATCCCATCTCGCCTTCTCCATCCTCGTCGCCTGCAATGTTGAAGAGGAGAGCATCCTGGCTTGAGCAAAAGATCGAACCTTGTTCTTGGCATGTTGATGGAATGTCCTTATGGTATAATTCCATCTGCATATTCCTTGATCTTTCAAGGCCTCCACTGCACCAATAGCAGCTGCCACGAGCCACGTTCTGCTTCCTGTGCTCATTATAATTCCCCCGAATATTTGATACAGAAGTGGAGAACAAAAGGGTCTTCCAACTGTTTGTGGAAAAGCTGCTTTGAAGAAGATGATCGAGTAAAGGTGCTTATATAGGAGAAAGGTTATGTCGACGAAAAAAACCAGCGGCTTTGATCAACAGTTGGGGAAAGTATCCATGGTATTTCGGCCCTAAACTGTGTGCTTATTAATAATGCTTGTTTGAGTTGTCCTTGAATTCTGGTCAAGTTAGTCTAAGGAGAATTAGAAATTGTATTGTTGTTTCCTTTGCTGTTAAAGTAATTAAACGGTGATTTCAATGAAATTAGGGATTTACTAAGAAATTGGGACTTAAGCATCATCCTGTCTTTGGTTATGTACAGTGATTAATGCTCTTTTAGGGGATTTAGTGTTTGTTTGTATAGAAAAACTTGAAAATTCTTTGATATCATATCCCTTGAAATTCATCTTTAATTTTGTTTCTAAATCTGAAGGACCAAAGGAAGGCAAACCAAAACCAGACATGTGGGTCCTTTCTAGAGATGCCAAAAAACTAATTGGTATTTTGCAGAGAGAATCAAAGCAAAAAAATCTGGTCTATAGGGTATTAAAGCAAAGCAAACACATACAGATTGAAAACATGAGCGAGCAGGGATCCCTGTAACCCTCTGATATATTTTACAATTTATGTCGCCTGTACACGGTGTTACTGTCAGATTACTCAGAACTGAATATGTTAAAATGCCAAAGGTGTTGGAGTGGATTAAAAAATGGCAACGTCATGATGAATTTTGGAAGGCGGTAGCTTTAATTAGTAGGAAAAAAAAGGAAAGGCCACATTTTTTCATTAGAAAAGTTTTGAAATGTGTGTGTGTGTGCTTTTTTTTTTTGGGTACAAAACCTCACAATAGTGATTATTGAACCAAGAATCAAAATAAAGAAAATTAAAGCTAAACAGCACATGCTCATTTAGATGAAATTATCCAAAGTTGAGAATTTGATTCTACAAGCTTTAGTCTATACACGAAAATCTAACTGTACTAGGTCGGTCCCCAAACAGCTCAATATTTCTCTGTACACTGAATGCAGAGAAGGAGAACAAAAGGGTCTTCCAACTGTTTGTGGAAATGTGGATTTGTAAAAGTCAATCAAGGAAAGGTGCTTAGAAAGCATAAAGGATGGTAGAAAAACCAGTGGCCTTAACCAACAGTCGAGGAAAGGATCACTGATATTTGGGTCTTAAACCATGTGCTTGTTTTTGAGTTGTCCTTTTGATTCTGGACAAGATTGTCTAAAGAAAATTAACAACCAGTACTTGCTATTTCCAAGGCTGTTAAATTATTAAACGGTGATTTCAAGTGATCAATGCTCTTTTAGGGGATTTAGAGTTTGTTTGTACTGAAAACCTGTAAATTCTTTGATATCCTTTGAAATTCATGATTTAGTCTTTCACTAAAGGACTCGAAAGAAGGGGAAAAAAAATATAGTTGGTGAAGTTGTCATTGTATACATTATGAACTTAAGTAGGACCCCAACAGCGCAAATTCATAATTGTTCTTTAAAGGCTCATTAGTTTGCTTTAGCTTCTCATCTCTTCTCTTGATCGTAGAGCAGAAAAAAGAACGTTCAGAGAGCATCTTTCCTTGACAACATGATCTGATATTGACCTTGGTATGTTGTTGAGTTGAATCCTTCCACGTCTGCTGGCTGCCACAACCAATTCTCTAGCTGTAGAACTCATATCGATTCTAGCCTTTTTTCTGGTTCTGGTTTTACCATCCATACTACGGAAAAACTAGAGAAGATGAATTTAGATGATGGATATGGTCATATGACTAATGAAAAATTTAATTTCCTTTGATGGTATGGGTTGACAAATGGATCTTTCTTATGTAGTGACTCTAGGATGGTAGTGGATACAGAGACTGCATGGACCAATGAGATTGAATGGGGCTGCAAAACCAGAGGCGAGTATGGAGAGACCCTTGGAATATTTTTGACACCATGTCCATTTGTATTTGTCTCCTTTTGATCTTTCTTTGAACTTGGACATGGAGAGGGAAAGAGACAAGAAGAGTCCGCAGAAAAACAAAGATACAGCAACTGATACTGAACTAACAAAAGGGAGGATAAGGAGAAATGCAAACATGTAATCACGTCATCGACCAAAGCTTCCAAAGAAAGTCCTTCAAGTTTGCACCAAATGAAGTGCTAGTAAACATGCTGCTGACTGTGTATGTATGCATTTGATCTCACTTAAAATTCTTTTGTTACATGTCCTTTTAAGCTGGAGGAAAGAACACATGTACTTTCAAGTTGGAAGAAAGATCACATCTAGGTCTTATGGATTTGCATCTTGCTTCTCTTCCTACAAGCCTGCATCTATGTATAATGATTTTGGAACAACGCCACCATCCATCTTGTTTGTCCCTTTTAGCTGGAGGAAAGAACACATCTAGGTCTTAATGGATTTGCATCTTGTTTTTCTTTTAAACCTGCATCTGTGTACACTGAATTAGGAACAATACTCCCATCTTGTTAGTTTCTCTGCAATTGGATGCAGCCTTGCATTCCTTCAAGCATGGATGTGATAATATCTGAGGCAATCTATGGATGTTCTCTAAAATTGCATCAAGTGGCAGAGAAGAGGTCTAAAACTGCAGAATGTGCCACAGAGAATACCCACCTTCCAGAACATGTTTGAAAATCGTCTTACTCTCAATCTCATGCTTTTCATCTAATATGCATCTTGTTTCAATGATTCACTGGCATGATTCTTAATTTCCGTGATTCCCCATCATTCAGCATACCCTCTTATCAAGCAGGCTTTTGTCTTTCTGGGATGCAAGATCCACCAAGTTAACAGTGTGGATATGGAAATGAGAAAAACAAAATTTCCCAGATGGAATCTCTTGCAAAATTGGATATAGAAGGGAAATGATTCCTCAATTCCTTGAAAATGTAGCGTTTGGAATCACATCTAACCCTATACATATAATATGAAGAAGATCAAAACTTCCCACATTAAATCTCAGACAAAAATGGAGATGGAATGAAAGCGAAAAGGATTAGCGTTTTATATTCCGCATTACAATCAAACTAATTACATCAAAATCTAACAGTATTGGGACCCCAACAGCTCAAATCCATCACTTTCCTCATGGATTTCTCCGATCTCTCCAACTTCTCAGAAACCGACTCAGATGAAGCCGGAGAAGAAGACAGCACCTTGACCTGAGAAAACAATCTTGCATTATTCTTGGCACGCTGATGCAATGACCGGAAAGTGTAATTCCACCGGCAAATCCCTTGGTCCTTGAGTGCCTCCACGGCCCCTATTGCCGTCGCAACGGCCCAAGCTCCCCTTGTTGCACTCATCCTCAACAAAGATGGGTTTTTTTTAGAGAGAATCTGAATAACAACGTTGGTTGTATGGTGAACTGGTGATGGTTGGAAGAAATGACACTAGTCCGGTTTTATATAGGGAAAAAGTGGGAGCAAAACCAGAGGCGGCGAGAGAAAAAAAAGAGGGGGAGAGAGCAGAGAGCCCACTGGTTTTGGGAGACAAAGCCTCGTCAGCTACCGTGTGGTTTCCTGAGTTCCTATGCCTCGATACGCTGTATTTCGTTCAGGACACGGAAGTTTCGTTAATTAAATACTCGTTAAAGTGTTTTCTAAGTCATACTGCACGTTACGTTATTTTCCTTGCCATTTAATAATTTTTTTAAAATAAATTATTTCCGTCCGATGCATTTCGACCTGAAAATAATTGTGTTCCCAAGATAAATAGATTAAAATAAATGTTGCACGTGGTGGATTGCCTGCGCAGCTCTAGTGCTGTGCTTCACCTTAGGGGCTGTTTTTTTTTTTTTTTAGGCAATGGTTTTAGGGGCTGTTTGGGCCATG